AGGTAATAGCTCAAATACTTGGGTCACCACCACACGTGTGGAGATACAGACTAAATTCCTGGCTCCTAGCTTCAGCCTGGCCCAGGCCCAGCCACCAAAGTTAATTTGGGGAATGAACTAGTGGATGGGAGATTCTCATTCATTCTCTCTCTCTCTCTCTCTCCCCTTCTCTTTCTCTCCGCCCCTCCCCCCTGTCTCTCCCCACCTCTCTTTCAAATAAATTAAATAAGTACATAAAAGTTTTTTAAACAGAAAAAAAGCCTGATTTATAGTCTGTTCTGTACCATATGCAGGCCTCACCACAAATGGGTAGCTAATAACACTATTAGGCTATCCTTAGGACAGTGGTGAGAGAAATCCTCCAGTGGGCAGAAGTTTGATTAGTATACCTGGTTGTTCACTTTTCTTGGAAGGAGAAATGATCACATGTGCAATTAGATACAAATTCATGGGCAGAGTCCAAAGGTTTGGCTGGACAGGCAGGGACTTGTATGAACCATGACTGGAAAATTGGTGATTAGGAAATAGGGGGAAGAACTATGTGGAGAAACCTCTCTGAATTGGCAAAAAAAAAAAAAAAAGAAGAAGAAGATATTTGTGTCCTATGCTCACCAAAAGAAGGCATCAGCGATAGAGGAATTTTAATAATCAAGTATGCCCAATTCTGTAGATACCTGTCAACTTCTCTCCCCAATCTACCATGGGCTCATGGTCAAAGCAGCCATGGTGCCAGGAATGGAGTTATACATAGGCTCAGCAAGACTGACTTGCACTCACTAAAGTTAACCTGACTATGGCCAATGCTGAGTAACCATTCTGCTAGCAGAAGAAATCAGCACCAAACTCCCAATACAGCACAATTCTCCTGGATTATCTGACACCTACCTGATAGCAGGTTGATTACACTGGACAGCTTCCATCATGGAAGAGTAGCATTTTGTTCTTATGGCAGACACACTTACTCTAGCTCCAGATTCTCTTTCCCTAGATGCAGCACTTCTACTATCAGCAGACCTACAAAATGCCTTATCCACCATCTGACCAAAAAACACACTTCAACCAAATGAAGGCTGGCAGTAGATCATGCCCACAGTTTACTGTTCCTATCATGTTCCCCACAATCCTAAAGCAGGCAGGTTGACAAAACAGTGGAATGATCTTGTGAAGATTCAGTTACAGTATCAGTTCTGGCAAAGTTTTCTAGAAGGTTATCTATGGTTCGAATCCATATCCAATAGAGATGATCCTCAACTTACAATAAAGTTATATCCCCCAAAAAAAGTCTTGAGTTCAAAACATCATTAAGTCAAAAATGTGCTTAATGTACCAAAAATGCTGAACATCATAGTTTAGCATCAGAGTACACTTCAGAGTATTAGTTGTTCACCCTCATAATCATGTGTTGGACTGGGACCTGTGATTCACTGCTACTCCCTAGCAACTCAAAAGAGTATCCTATCTCAGCACTAGGCCAGGGAAAGATCAAAATCAAATACGTAAAGTACATTTTCTACTGAATGCATATTACTTTGGAATTGTTTTAAAGTGAAAAAATTGCAAGTCAAACCATCCTAAGTCTGGGACCAACTGTATATGATATCATTCTATCATAGCCAGGATTGATGGATTTAGAAATCAAGGAGCAGAAATAGGAGTGGCATCAGTTGCTAAAAACTCTAGTGATCCACTAGAAAACTTTGTCTTCCTGTTACTGTGACATGCTCTGCTGGCCTAGATTCTTAGCTCTAGAAGGAAGACTGCTTCTCTACCAGAAAACACAACAATGATTCTCCTGAACTGGATATTAAGACTTCCACTTCGGCTGGTGGCATAGTGGGTAAAGTCGCCACCTGCAGTGCTGGCATCCCATATGGGCACCAGTTCGAGTCCCAGATGCTCCACTTCCAATCCAGCTCTCTGCTATGGCCTGGGAAAGCAGTAGAAGATGGCCCAAGTCCTTGGGCGCCTGCACCCCTGTGGGAGACCCGGAAGAGTCCTGGATCCTGGCTTCAGATCGGCGCAGCTTCATTGCGGCCATTTGGGGAATGAACCAGCAGATAGAAGATCTCTCTCTCTCTCCCTCCCTTCCTCCTCTCTCCCTCCCTCCCTCTCCTTCTCTTTTTGTGTAACTCTGACTTCCAAATAAATAAATAAATACATCTTTTAAAAATAAAAAAAAAAGACTGCCACTTGGCCATTTGAGCTACTCATGCCTGTAAATCAACAAGCAAAGAAGGGAGTTATTGTGATATCTGGAGTGACTAATCCCGACTCTCAAGGGAAAAGCGGACTGCTACTGTGTAACAGACATAAAAAACAGACATGTTTGAAATACAGGAGATCACTTTGGGCATCTCCTGCTATTATCATGCCCAGTGATTAACATAAACAGAAACTACAACAGCCCAATCCAGCCAGGACTACTACTGCCCCCAGATCTTTCAGAATAAAGGTACAAACCACCCCAGTAGATAAAGAACCACAAGCAACTAAAGTGCTCACTGAAGGCAGAGGGAACACAGTAAAGACCAGCTACGGGGCTAGCATTGTGTTGCAGCAGGTAAGCCGTGGCCTGCAACACCAGCAACCCATATGAGTACAAGTTGAACTACCAGCTGCTCCACTTCTGATCCACATGCCTGCTAAGGTGACTGGAAAGGCAGAGGAAATTGGCCCAAGTATTTTAGCCCCTGACACTCAAGTGGGAGACCTGGACGGAAGTCAGGCTCTTAGTTTTGGCCTGGCCCAGCCTTGGCTATTGCATGAGCATCTGTGGAGTAAACCAGCAGATGGAAGACCCCTCTCTCTCTGTGTCTGTGTCTCCCTCTCTCTCGGGAACTATGCCTTTCAAATAAATAAATCATAAAAAGACTGGTTTGAATCATATGGCCAGTTACATGTGTGGGTCATACATCTTTGTTTACTACCCTTTTTCTTTCTTATAACTTTATCATGTATCATAAGATGAACGGATTTTATATCAGGTTTAAAGTATTATTATCTTCACATCATAGTACTTAAGTTATAAGATATTAAGGACAGGAGTAAGCAACCCATCTCAAGGACTTTTCCTTCTTTGGTGGAGAAGGGGTTAGTGTGTTCTCAGTGGCACACAGGATAGCTGTGTCACATTAGGTGGAATTATAATCCTGTTATTATTTTTACTTGGTGATTAAGTATGGTTTACAGAGATGGGTATAGGTGATAAGTTGGCAAGAGGTGGGCTTGTGATGACCAATTTTATGTGTTGATTCGATTAGGACATCACGTACCCAGATATGTAGCTAGGCATTATTTCTGGATGTGTTTTTAAGGATAAGATTAGCTATGAATCAATAGACTGACTAAAGCAGAATGCCCTCTCCAATATGGGTAGGCACATCTAACCCTTTAAGGGTTTAAAAGATTAAAAAGATAAGGAAAGGAAGAATTTTCTCTCTACCTAACTGCTGACCTGAAACACTGACCTCTTCCATCAATGTTGCTGGCTCTCAGGCCTCCACACTCGGACTAGGATTTAGAACACCAGCTTTCCTGGATGTTTAATTCACAGATGGAAGATCACAAGACTTCTCAGCCACCGTAATCATGTGAGGCAATTCCTGTGATAAGTCTCTTTACACACACATGCATATATACACATATGCACACATTCATGCACACATATTTCCTGTTGATTCTGTTTCACTAATACGTCCCTATTCTCCTGCCTTATATTATTTAATTTCTATTTCTACTAGATGAATATTGATGCAAGTCTAAAATATAGTTTAGATTTTCAAAGTATACTCATGTCATAGGAATAAAATAAATAAGACAAAATGTAAGTACACTTTATTATTAAAACAACTAATTAAATTATTATTAAAACAACTAATTCTATTGATATAGAAACTATATGCCTGCAGAATATGTACGAAAGCAAAATTGTTAATATAATGAATTAACAAAAAATTTTCTTACATTTTAGGTTTTGAATATCATTTTAGAATAGAATCATAAAATTTAAGTATTTTGAAAAAATTATTTGTAACTAGAGATAATTTTAGGTGATAAAAACTTTTTACTTAGTTTCAAATTGCCTTGTCATAACCTCTGCCTACTATTCTAAAAAACAAGTAGATACTTTTGTTAATTACTAGATATTTGGAAGAAAAAAATTTATACAATACTTAGTTAAAAGTCTGTGTGTTTACTATATAGTTTCATTTAAGATATATTTCAATAACAGAATCTTTAATCCTATAAATTACTATTTTTAAAAACTTGCTTCAATTCGTTCTTCTAAAGAACATAGGATGTTTTGATGCTATCCATTTAGAAGCTTGAATTTCCTGCTCTTAATTCATTTTCATCTATCTTAAATATTAACTGTATGATTTTTAACAGTCTTCCTTCAACTGAAGTAGAGCTGCAGCACTACTGACATTTTGAGTCAGATAATTACTTGCTCTGGAAAGGCTGTTCTAGCATTGTAGGATGTAAAGCAGCATCCCCGGCTTATACCTCCTAGAGGCCAGTGGCCACCTCGAAGTTACGAGAATTAAACATGTTTCCATACATTCCAAAGGATCCTTGCTAGACAAAATTGCCTCCAGTCTAAAGGCAAACAAAAAGGAAATTACCAGCATCAACACGTCAGGTTAAATTTAAACACAAAGTATGTAAACAAAACACTAGGATTAACGCATGTCTGACAGGAATCCCATGGAAATAATTTTAATACCTATCTATAGAATCCTATTTACACTGGTATGCAAAACCACATTTAGGTTATAGTCTTTTTTTTAAAATCACTTTTGAAAAGCTTTTCCCAGGCTCAATGAAAAGAAATTGCTAGATCCAAAATAGAATTAGGTGCCAAGAAGTAAATGATTCTCCACATATTTTCTAAAAGTATTAATGTATATAATGCTTTTTGTGCAATACTATTAAATAGTAAGATAATATTTGTAAAGCAGCAGTGTTAACTTTATCAACATTCACCAATAAATACTGACCATACTGCAGTTGCTGTTTGTTGAAATGCACTTTTTGTCATCACACCACTGGCACCCATTTGTATTGGCTGTACAGCTGGCACAATCTGCATATCTGTAACATCTGTCATCAGAAGCAGCTGTAACGCACATGGGAAACAGAACACATCAAGACAAAAAAGAAAAGGGCACACTTCTTAATCAACACATATGTAGCATCTATTTAGGGGCCACTAAGACAGTTTTTAACTAAAGGAATGACCTTTAATATCAAAATAAGTTCTCCAGCCTGAACTCAACCTTGTAGTTTAATTCTATCTACAAGACTTAGATGCCTTCTACCCTCATCTTACATATTCCGTTCACTAGGATCCTATAGCATTTTAAATTTGCATATTTTGCAAGGGAAAAAAACTTACAGGTATATCATCTAACAAAGTGCATTATTACATAAACAAAAGAAATCATAACAAATACTATCGCTTATCACTTGTATAATAGACACATATGAGCTAATATAAACCAACAAAATTTGCAAATACATTTGCGAATTCTATCACCAAAAATGAGTAAAAGTGCTTACCCATTTAAAGAAAACTGAAAATTTTTGATACAAACAATAACACTAATAATTTTTCTTAAGTCTAATTTACTTATTCACTATTTTATAAACCAATTATCATATGTTTTCCCTGATCTGTGGTAACTAACAGAGTATAAAAATGTAACATATATATGAGCAAAAATGACATTTTGAGATTTGATTTTTGTTTACAGCCCTTGTCTCCACTGTTGAGGAACAATGTGTTTTTTCCTCTTGCTATTTGCTGAATTCTTTACTTAGTGGAGGGTTAAGCTCATGATTGTAAAAATAAACTGAAAGTGTGTCATTGTAAAAATTAAGAGAAATGAAAGGAAGGCAGAGGGAGTGTAGGAACATGGGTGGGAGGGATATTAAGGAGGGAAGTATCACTATGCTCCTAAATCTGTATATATGAAATACAGGAAATGTGCTCACCTTATATAAATAAAAAATATAAATTAGAACAATGGTGATCAAATTCTAAAAAAAGTTTGAATTTTATGGTATAGCTTGGCAATAATTCAGGAAGAAAAATACCAAATGCAGAATAAATTACTTCATTTTTTTTGAAGCATATAGAATTTCTTAGGAATAATATATTTGAAAGTATTTTTAACTTATACTACAAAATAATCCATATATTTATATATATATCCATGCTGCATATAAAATGGTGTTATGCAACGCATAGAAATTTCAAAAACAAAACATCTAATAGAGATTAAATTATTAATCATTAAATTCAAACATTAGAATTCTTAATAGGAGAGTTATGAACTGTTCATTTCTAAAAGCTACCAAGGTAATTCTAACAAGCAGAATGCATTAATACTTCCAGCCAAATAAACAAACTTTTGCCAAAAAAAGGAAAAAAGAAAAACGAATTACCTATTTTAGGAGGGCATTTTGCTCTAAGAATATTATTAGCATTTCCAGATTCCCAAGATTCACAATGATTTTTATTCCAAACACATTTTATTCCTGGACCAGCATTTTTACAAAGTTCTTCATCTCTGAAAGCCTTGCAATTTGGAGGCTTGTAAACAAGGATATCGCTAAGGAGTACACTAGAAAATCCCCCAAATACATACATGGACCTATTAAAAACAGAACACAATCGTGAAGAAACAATATTAAAAGTCTTTCTAATGAATTAACTTTAAAAACTAAACAGAGATTTAAGTATATACTTAACATCATTTTTAAATACTTCTGTCAGCATTGTTCTTCAAAGTTCTATTTCTAACATACAATATGATATGATAACACCAGATGAATGACTATGCCAAAATTTCTAGAAATATTTGGCATGTATAAAGGAAAATTTAAGTCTCCAAAACATTTGTTAATTGTTAATGCAATAAAAAAGATACAAGGATTACATACATTACTTTGATCATGAAGAAAACCAAAGTTTAAATAAGGTAGGAAGTCATTTTTAAAGAAATAGATTACAGCTATGAATGGACACGATATACTTTAGAATATCTGGAATTATAAATTTTGAATACAGATTAAGAATTTAGAAGTTAAACAAAAGGTTCTTCTCATATTTTTTTTTTCAAAATTTCTAATTGGAAAGAGAAGCCTAGACAATACCTACAATACTAACCAATGTCAAAACAGCTTAACATGGCCTCAATAACAGCATAATTTTTTCTACTCATTTGTTAATACAATAAAGGGAAATATCTGAAAATGCTTTATGAATATGTTTTATTATTTAACAAGCAAAAAAATCAACTAACACAATTTTCAATGGAAGGCTACTTTTTATATTTCACACTGAATTTCATTTACTTTTGAAATTGATTTATTTTGAAAGCCAATTGATCAGTTACACATTTTCACTATAGTTAACACATCATTTTGTGGGAACACTGAAGAATTTTTACATAATCAGGATGAGGTAGTAATAATATAAATTTATAAATCATTCTGCAGTACAAATTTTAAGCTAATGAATGAACTCACATATTTGTTACCTTTGCCTGAGTCCAAATTAACAAATTTTTGCTATAGAAACAGAAATATTATATCAACTTAAAGAAGGATGGTAACTTAATGATCACTGGGTTCAATATACCAGTGAAAATAAAAACATTAAAGTCCAGAGAGCTAAAGAGACTTGTCAAAAATTATATTTACTTAATGACAGAACTAAAATAATAATCTAATTCTTCTCACTTTCTTTGTTCTCCTTGAGAGAAACATGACATTAGACTATCTATGGTTATCCTTCAGTCTTTTTAAAGGAAGAATCATCCCTTATCTGATCTCTAAAATGTACAGAATTCAATAGGATCTGAAATTTTACTTTAGCACCTTTCCTTTGACTACTCTCTTACTCCTTAAATATATTTAAATAAACAAACACAAAAAATAAAAGGAAGGATATGGTTAACAAACCAAAACCAGGTAGACTAAGGATATATGAAACCCAATTCCACTAAGTATCAATGGAAGTTTTCAAAACAAATAACAGAATATGTGAATGTGCCAAGGACTGATATCCTTCACTCTCTAAAAATTCAAAATGTGTTTATTTTACCCATTAATGACTACTGCAGAATGTCCAAATCTGTTGACATCTCTATGAAGATTTGGTTTCGGTAATATTTTCCATTCATCACAAGCTAGAAAACAGAAAAATAAATAAAATAAAATAATAAATTGAGACAAATAAAATGAAAAAAGCAATGGCCAAAGTAAAGATATAACACATAAAATGACAAAGAAAAATAGCCTTTCATTAATTTTCCCACTACCTACAATTTAGTGTCATTAATCAATTACACTGTACCTTAAGTAAAAATATTTTTGCTTAAAATTCCCACAAATAATTTTAAGCATTTATGAGAATAAAGGAAATGAGAGGAATACAATTAAGTGTACTTTATACTGGAAGATAATTTCAATGATATAGCTTCAGGTAAACAAACCAAGGTTCACATAGTAAAACTCATGAATATCAATAAAGGGCATACCTATATAAAAGCTAAATATTAAATCAAATACTGCATGTATGCATACAAAAGTAAATTGTATTATAATAATTACTGAAAGAAAGAACAGTTGAAATTGTAAGAATAAAACATTGGAGTCACTTTTAAATTTTGTTATTTCAAAAGAATAGCATTTATTTTAGGTAAAGGGGAATCATTTTGAGACAAACCTAGATAAAACGTAAAAAACATGAATAATCCATGAACTATATAAAGAAGAATGGTTAATAAAAATGTATATCACCTCAATATAACCTCAAAATTGATATGTATACTAACTTAAATTTTCAATTTTCAAATAGTTCAGAATTTAGTAGCTAGGGAATCTCAGGACAGTATCTGATATTTTATTACTTTAGATTTGCCATATCTTAATAAATGTCTTGGTACTTAATAAAATCAGATAGGTTGAAAAAGTTGTGGGTTTTTTTTTTTTTTAAAGAATTATTTATCTATTTGAAAGGCAGAGTTACAGAGGGTGGAAGAGAGACAGAGAGATCTTCCATCCACCGGTTCACTCCCCAGATGGCCAAAATGGCTATAGCTTGGCTAGGCCAAAGTTAGGAGCTAGAAGCTACATCTGGGGCTCCCTCCTTGGTGGCAGGAGCCCAAATACTTGGGCCTTATAACACTGCTTTAGGCAGGCTGTTAGCAGAGAACTGGACTGGAAGTGGAGCAGCCAGGGCATGAACCAGAGCCCATACAGGATGCCAGTGATGCAGGCGGCAGCTTTACCCACTATATCATAATGCCGGCCAATAAAAAGCTTTCTAAAGATAAATTTTAAGGTAGTAGAGATTGCTTTGTAAAACAATAAAACCTACAAGAAAGGATTTTGGAATGTTTTCAGCATAAATAAAGGATAAATGATTGAAGAGTTAGATATATTCACCCTAATTTCAACATTATACAATGTATACATGTATCAAAATATTACATGATTCCATATAAATATAAATTATATATATTTATCAGTTAAATTTTAAAGATTAAAAAAGAGAATCTAAAATGATATTGTAAAAAAATATATAATGAATTACTCATTTTCTTATTGAAGCAAAATATAAAACACTAACACTGAAAGAAATTGGGTTTTACTTAATAATCTTACTAGTTAAGATAGAAGGAATTGCATAAATCAAATTTAAAGTTTAAAAAATGAAGCTGGAAGTTTGAGAATAATAAAATACTTCTTGAGTCATATTTCTCAAACTGTACTCCAAAGACATATATTCTACCCCCCAATTATATTCCTTAATTTACATAATCTCTCTCTTTAGTTCATAAATGAGTATAAAGATACAGAAATCCAACACATTTATTTAACCCAGGGTCACTCAATGTTCTGTCTATAGAAGCTTTTTCATATAACATCTATTAATATTCCTAAAAATCAATGTTCTGAAGTTCCCATTTTAGGAAATATTATCATTTGGGCCAACAGATGAAGGTGGTCTGCCAATTTTACATGTCAGAGTTAATTTAAGACATGTAGCACAATAAACATTCCAAAATATTTTTGTCTACATTTGTTACATGGCTTTTGTAACAATCCAGTTAAGTAGGGTGAGTGTTTGTCCTAGGGGTCAAGATGCTTGTCAAAACTACAGCATCCTATATGGGAATACCTGGATTCAAGTCCTAGCTCTGCTCCCAATACCAGCATTCTCAGGAGGCAGCCACTTATGGCTCAAGTGGCTAAGTTACTGCCACTCATCTGGGAAACCCACATTGTGTTCCCAGCTCCTAGCTTTGGCTTGGTCAAATCCCTGCCACTGCAGGCAACTGAGGAGTGAACCAGTGGAAGAAAGTTCTCTATTAATAGAAAAATTATTAATATAAAATTTTATTAGTTTTATTAATATATAAATTAATAAAATTTTATTAATATAAAAACAGATTTCATGTATTTCAGAGGTACAATTTTTTTTTTTTGACAGGCAGAGTTAGACAGTGAGAGTAAGAGAGAGAGAGAGAGAGGTCTTCCTTACGTTGGTTCACCCCACAAATGGCCGCTACATCCGGCGCTCTGCGCCGATCCGAAGCCAGGAGCCAGGTGCTTCCTCCTGGTCTCCTATGCGGGTGCAGGGCCCGAGCACTTGGGCCATCCTCCACTGCCTTCCCGGGCCACAGCACAGAGCTAGACTGGAAGAGGAGCGACCAGGACAGAATCCAGCACCCTGACCGGGACTAGAACCCAGGGTGCCGGCACCGCAAGTGCAGGATTAGCCTAGCGAGCCTCCGCGCCAGTCAGAGGTACAATTCTAAGATAATCATACTTCCCTCCCCTGTCAATCCCCCTCGTTTCCTTTCTTTTTTAAATTTTAACAAAAACATAATTTCAATCCACTCTATAATCATAGGCTTAATGCACCAGCAACCACAATATTCAACAAGTAAAAAGTCTCTGCCTCTTATATAAATTAAGTGAAACTCATTCAAAAACAAACAAAAAGAAAAAACAAGAAACAAGCCTATTTGAGCAGTATTACCGTATATTAGATATGAAGACTTATACCTAAAAGAAGTTAAGCAACCTGTGTAATGGCCTCTTCATTACCTTTATTTTTCCATAACTTGGGTTTATAAAAGTTTGATGACATAGAAGTATCATAACAGGATTTTGAAAGATTAGTCCTATTTAGGAACAGGAGGAGACTTAGAAAGAACATAGGCTCTTAAAGTGAAGAAGGGTAAATGGTAGGATCTCCTTTTGACCCAGCATGCAACAGTGAGCCTGGGAAAGCAGCAGCAGATGATCTGTGCACTTAGGTCCCTGCCACCTAAACGGGAGACCGAGATGGAGCTCCTAGCTCCGGGCTTTGGCCTGGCCCAAATCTGGCTGTGACAATCAATTGGAGAGTGAGCCAGCAGATGGAAGATCTCTTTATTTTACCCTCTTTCTAAGGCACTGTCTTTCAAACAAATAAATAATTTTTAAAAAGCAAGGAGAAAGAAAAGAAAATGAAAGGTATGGAAATGTTTAAAAAGTCAGCTAATGAATTAAGGTAATTAAATTTCAATTATTCCACCCAAGCCCAATACTCCCTCCCCACCCTCGCTCTCTCCGTGGCTACTGACTGTGCATTAATTATAATTATTCCAATAAAAGAATTACATATACCATGCTTTAAGTAAATTCAAAAATAAGTCAGATAAGAGTAGAACTTCCCTCTTTCTGTATCTGTTCTTCTCCCTCTGTAACTCTGACTTAAATTGTTTTGCTAAAAAAGGCTAGTATTGGGACACAACAGATTAAGCTTCTACCTGGGATGCCTGCATCCTACACAAGCACTGGTTCGAGTCTTAGGTGCTCTGCTTCCCATCCAGCCCCTGGTTAATGTGCCTCTGAAGACAGTGGGAGATGCCCCATGTGCTTGGCTCCTGCCACCCACAGCAGAGACCCAGATGGAGTCCTGGGCTCCTAGCGTCATCCTGGCCCAATTCTAGCTGTTGTGGCCATTTGAGGAATAAACCAATGGACGGAAGATTTGCACTCTCCTCTCCTCTCTTCTCCTCTTACCTCACCTTCCCTCCTCTCTAATCTTCTCTTTCTCTCCCTCCTTTCCACCCACCTTCCTTCCCTCTCCCTCTCCCTAGCACTGCCTTTCAAATAAATAAATAAATATGCAAAAAAAAGAAAGAAAAATAATAATAATGAAAGAGTAGAACTTCCAGAAAGCAATTTTTTACCTAAAGTCTCCAAAGGTCTCCTTAAGGTCATTTTGAAACTGTCTGGAGTGCAAAAAAAGACAGTAACCCAGCAACGCAAGACTACATAGAGCTAAAAAATAACTTGGACAAGCATCCAATACAAGCCAGGCAAAAGGAGGGAAGGAAAGCCGGTGAAAAATGCAAGGTAAAAGAATCTAAGTGTTTGTGGTGGAATGAGGACACATCAAGATGGCGCTGGTGAGCTGCCTCGGCTATATAAGCACAGGTACTTCCTGAAATAAGTGAGTCTCTGGGCCGCTCGCCCCTAGCCTGCTTTCACCTGACTCCCGGTGTTGTCTATGTCATGACTCCTCGCCGTCTTACCCCCAACCACCACAGGAGAACCCAAACGATACAACAAGAGTTAATACAGGGAAAGAAACTAAGAGAATAAAAAATAAGCATTAACTAAAACTTGGGCCTTTTGAAGACCTCTTCCAACTCTATAAGCCACACTATCTCTTTAGATGAATGATAAATTATCTAAAGAATGGCATTATAAATGTGTGTGTGTGTGTATCACTAGCCAGAAGTTTTAATATTTTACCTTTTATTCCTTTTGTGTGAATGCAGTCAACATTTATTTATTTACTATTTAAAAGGATGTTGGGGGTGAAAGCGGAGGGGAAGTGAGAATCTTCCATCTGCTGGTTCACTTCCCACATGCCAGCAAGAGTCAAGTCTGGGCCAGGCTGAAGCCAGGAGTCAGGAAAGCAATCTATGAATCCCATGTGGGTAGCAAGGACCCAGGTACCCAAGCCATCACTTGCTGCCCACTAGGTGGACACCAGCAGGAAGCTGGGATCAAGAAAGGAGACAGGACTCAAATCCAAGCACTTTGATATGGGATGTAGAAATCCTAAGCAGCATTTTCACCACTATATCAAATGCCCACTCCAGAGGCATTTTTTCTAAAA